AGTTGTGAGAACTCCAACACCTTTTGAGCAATATGGAACACTTTTCAGACTTGTTGGACTAGGAAAGTTGTGTTTTGGTGTTTGTCCATTAAGCCATACAACTTGTGAGGTCCTTTAATTGAATTTTGAATGTTAAAGTTTAGATCATGCGTGATTTAGGTGTCTTAATGAATAAAGTCAGAAATGTTATCCATTAATACATTAGAAAGAATCATATCTAAAAAAATAGTCTTGACTTAATGGATTAAGTCGAAAAACCCTTGAAATAGCTAAGGCGCGATGCATCTAGTGAAGGAATGGAGGGTGCGTTCTAATAAATTAGAGTCGTGTCTGATTTGGAGCTGAGATGTGACTATTTTGTCATGTAGTGAGCGTGGGGTTAGGGTTGGTGGGGGTGGGGGGGCATAGGTGAGGGCGTAGAGCGCCTCGTTAACCAAATGTTGATTGTTTGTTTATTAACTGAGAAATGTGTATTCCGGAGGAGTTGGTATTTCGTTATTTGTTTATTAACTTTAATCGAGCATCTTTCATTGCTGATTATTTTTTTTTTATTTTGGATATTATGTTTATTTTAAGGTTTTTTTCTTATGATTTAGAGCATATGGTATGGGCAACTTGAAATGATGTTATGACAAGAAGCAACAAGAAGAGGGTGTGATGTTCATGATGTTATAACAACATGTTAAGAATATATATATATATATATATATATATATATATATATATATATATATATATATAGAGAGAGAGAGAGAGAGAGAGAGAGAGAATTTGGGCAATCAATAGAAAACCACGTGACATCTAATCATGACCATAACAAGAAGCAACACAACTAGATACAACAAAAAGAATGGGTGGTGTTCTTGTTAACGGCATTGAGGATGCTCCACCTCAGCAACAACGAGATGCAACATGACTCATACCTTATACTCTTAACGTGGTGAAATGCGTTACAATTCCGTGTCATGACAAATTTAAGTACATTAGATTTTAATGTAAACATATATATATTTCAACAATAAAATTAAATAGTGCCAACCTTTTTCGCCTTTGAAAGTATCTAACGCAATTAAGTGATGCCACGGTGCCTACCTTTTAATGTGTAGTGTTAAACATATTGATTATATATATTAGGTGTAACACATAATGCATTAGATTTATAAAAAAATAAAAAAAATTTAAACTTGACTTTTTATATTTTAAATTTAAATTTAAATAAATAAAAAAATAAACTAATGAACTTTAGTTTGAAAATTTTGAAATAAAAAGATAAGTTCATTAATAAAATTGATGTTCATTTATTATTATATTTATTGTAATTATTACATTAAAATATTATATGAAATTTATTAAAATAAAAAAACCATGTGGCAAAAAAAAAAAAAAAACCACAAAATAACATTTGAAAAATTGAGAGTGTGACATGTAATAAAAAAAATTTTCATTTATTATAGTAGATTTTTTTATTTAATTTTTATTTGTTTTTTTTGCTAACATAAACACCTATCGTAAATAATAACATAATGTATTTCACTTGTTGTGTTAATTAGTATGATGATTTTTTTTATTTTTTTTTTTTATTTTTTTATTTACGACCTTTAAATAAACTAAACGGAGAGATTTTTTATAGCTACAAAACAATTGAAACATGTTTCTTTTTGTAATCTAACGTATTTTTAATATATATTTTTGAAAGGACAACATTTTCAGGTATCCGATTTAATATCCGAATCCGTATCTGAAATTTCAGACATCTCGATGCAATATACACTATACGAAATTTTCGGATATCCGGTTTTGAACACCTTAAGTAAAAGTATCTTTGATAGGATTGTACTCTGGTTTGGCTAGAACTAATGCAAGCGTTTTACTGTAAGTTTTAATTTTCCTTTTTCTTAATTAATATTGGGATCATTGTATATTCTTATTGACCTCTATATATTTTTATTTGTTTTTCTTATAAAAACGCTTGTGTTTTCCTATTTTTCGGAAAAATGTTTATAATTATTTAATCCTTTTGGTGCATCAACAATTTTATTGGTGTATATGAATCTACAAAGTAAAAATTATTGAAGAGTTGCCTTGAAAATCTTAATGCCTTTGGCTCACTTGGTGAGTTCTTAAATTATTGAAGAGTTGCCTTGAAAATCTTAATGCCTTTGGCTCACCGAAATGCAAGATCTTGAGGTCTTAAATTATGTACATGGGGAATTGTTGGTTTAGCATCCTCATAATTCGATTGTGGGGCTTGTTGATCTTGAGTCTCTTTACAAAATATACCACGAACCGAAATGCAAGATCTGGAACATAATGCGTATGCACTTTATCAATAAAGTGCATACGCATTACGTTCCAGATCTTGCATTTCGGTTCGTGGTATATTTTGTAAAGAGACTCAAGATCAACAAGCCCCACAATCGAATTATGAGGATGCTAAACCAACAAATCTCCATGTTGATGTTGAATAAACAAATTGTCAGACCGCTTAAACAACAAATTGACAGGCTACTTAATGAAAAATTATAAGTGAAAAAGATAGAAAGAATGAGTAAGAATTATTAGGGTGTTTAAACAAAATGTGTTTGTTTTTTTATGTAATGATTTGAAGAATGTATAGTTTTTGATATAATTCTTTGAGGAATTTGTTTGTTTTTTTATATAATCTTTCAAGAATGAAAACAGATTCTGCTAATAATATATATATATATATATATATATATATATATATATATATATATATATATATATATTCTCTAATAAAAGAATAATTATATTTTTCTTTTGACATGTGTCATCATATTAGGCATCCTAATTAATGCATATTTTATTTTCTTTTTGTCATATGTCACCATGTTATATCTCCTAATTAATGCATTCCACTTGTCAACTTATTGATTATTCATTTCAAATTTCAAATTTCAAATTTCTCATTCTAATTACATTTAATTAATAATATTAGAATAAAAATTAAAATAAAATTAATATAAATTAAAAAGTGATATAATATTACATATTTATTTAAATCGATAATTAAAATTTATATAACTAAAAAATATCTTAGTTAATAATTTATTGAAAATAATTAATTAATAATTTTAATTTTTTACTATAAAAGTTTAATTAATTTTGTAATCGTGGTTTTCACGGGTTATAAACTAATATATATATATATATATATATATATATATATATATATATATATATATATATATATATATATATATATTCTAATCGAGGAATAGGTTTTTTTTGTCATGTATCACCCTATTATGCCACTTTATTAATGTCATATCATTTGTCAACCTATTGATTATCCATTTCAAATTTTAATTTTCAAAATTTTCCACTCTAATTACATTAAATTAACAACATTATAATAAAAACTAAAATAACATTAATACAAATTATAAAGTCATATATTTATTTAAATCAACGATTATAATCTAACCTAATAAATAAGAATAATTTTGCCACATGTCATTCTCTTATTCAATTAACCACATGTCATTTTGTCTTGATTTTGAGATATATTTATTTTCCACTTGTTATTTACTTTAGTTTTCATTTTCAATATGTCATTAGTTTAGTTTCCATAAATTAAATCTACCATAATGACTATTAATTTCAAATTTCAAGTTTTAAATTTCAATTTCAATATCAAATAAATTTACAATTTAAACCTTTGTGTTTAACATTTTGTTGTAATTTACCCGTTTAGCATATGGATCTGATAACTAAACATATAATTTTAATTTATTTATTTATTGCATTTTTTTCTCATAATTTTCAGTTATTTCAAAATTCAAATTCAAATAAACTTCTCATTTAATCGTGCATGTTTAACATTTTGTTTTAATCAACTCGTATAATATACGGGTCTCACAACTAGTTTTATATAACTAAAAGATTATCTATTAATAAACAATTTATTTAAAATAATTGATTAATAATTTTGATTTTTTGATTATAAAAATTTAATTAATTTTATAATCGTGGTTTCTACTGGTTATAAACTAGTACTCTAATAAATGAAGGTTTTTTTGTCACATGTCACACTCTTATTCAATTTGTCAAATGTCATTTTTGGTTATTTTGGATTAATTTCTTTTGCACATGTAATTTTATGGGCTTTTCTATTTTAATAAATTTCACATAATTCTTTAATATAATAATGAAAATAAATGTAGTATTAAATGAATATCAATTACATTAATGGACTTACCTTTTTATTTCAAAATTCTCAAATTAAAGTTCATTAGTTTATTTTGTTTATTTATTTAAATTTAAAAGATAAAAAAATCAATTTTAGTAATTCATTATTTTTCTTACTTTCTTATAAATCCAAAGTTCTTAAATATTAAACATTTTTTTATTTATTTTAATTAACTCATGTAATACATGAGTCTACACCTAGTATATATATATATATATATATATATATATATGTGTGTGTGTGTGTGTAGGCTTAGGGTATTGTGTTGTAAGTAATTATTGTGTGGATTTAAGAATGATCGTGAACTAATCATTTTAGTTATTTTAAGAAAGTTATTTATCCATATTATTAAATTAAAAAAATAAAATAATACCATTTAATTAAAAAAAAGGTAAAATTGTACATTTCCATTACTTTCAAATTAGGAAACACAAATTTAAGAATGAATTTTTGGATTTTAAGGGATTTTTTATTAGTTTAATTTTGAATTATGAATTTTTTTAATTAATTCGTTTTTAATTATGTTGGAATGCATATTTTGGTAGAATACAAATTCTAATATATTGCATATTCTGATTGAATGAATATATTGAAGAATAACAAACACTACTAGAAAAACAGCCTTTTAGGATGCACAAACCACGATACACACTGATTTATGTTACGCAAAAGAGAGTGACCTTAAAATAGTGTCATCTCTTCAAAAAAAATTAAGTATTTACGTCACGCATTATTGCATGCCCTTAAAGTAGTGTCTAAAGAAAAAAAAATTAAAAACACGGAGGGTGCTTCCTTTTTCTATCATTCATCTTCTCAATCGACTCTCCCCTCTCGGTCCATCTCTCTCCGATCCGATCCGCTTCTCTGCTACTCCTGACATCCTTCTTATTGGTCTCATCAAACATCTCGTTCCTCACCTTTTCCGTTGACCACCGGTCCTTCCCCATCGGCTATGCTCCAACCAAATGATCATCTGTCCAAGCACAATCGGCGGTGTGTATCTACTTTTCTTCTCCTTGTTTTGCACCCTGAAGATGATGACGCCTTTGAACTTGTTTTCTCCACCTTTGCATCATCAGTATTACAACCATACTGGGTCAAAATCACCGATTATTGGATCAATTGTGATTTGTCTTTTTAGGGTTTTTTTTTTTCAGAAGAGACTGGAGATCCTATACTATCAGAAAGAATTGTGATTAGACCCATCCACCCTCATTCTGCTATCTACTGAAGTTGATCTTCTTTCATTATGATGATATTCTTAGAAAAGAATCAGATCGCGAAACCTTTGTAAGGCTGAGAATCAGCCCATCTGGTAATCTTCTCTCTCTCTCTCTCTCTCTCTCTCTCTCTCTCTCTCTCTCTCTCTCTTTTTGCAATTTCATCTACACAGAAACACATACACACAAGTATATGAAAAATGAATAATCTCCCAATGTTGCTATTCCCACTCTGTCATCTCCTCTTACTAAAATAAACACATTCCTGCTTTTAGACCGACTTCACAATTTAAGGGAATTGGGGGTTAGTTTCCCAGAAAGGTTCTTGTCTTCCATAAAAAATGGAAGCTGGTTGAAGATTAATCTGAGTGGGAGTCCTGGGTACCGATTGCCTTCATAATCATTCATGCTAAAGTCATCAATTGGGAACCTTCTACAGAATGGATTGGTGCTTGTTAACATCCCATTGGTTGATGAGAAATTTCCAGCTCAAGGTACCTGCTATGACTGTATATAGATCTTCCCAAGTTGTTTGAGTATCATTTGTAGACTATAAGAACTCAATTGATTTTATCTTGTTTCCAGTTTAGTGTGATGGGTAAGATCATATTTATTATCTTAAATGTGCAGATTTACTCCCCTGCACCTTGTGCACCAAGGTAAAGAAACAGAAGAGCGGGAAAGACAGGTGAAGCTAGTTGATATACTTGTGGCAACACCTGGAAGATTAGTTGATTTGCTTGAAAGGGCAAAAGTGTCATTACAAATGATAAGGTATTTAGCTCTTGATGAAGCAGATCGTATGTTGGATATAGGATTTAAGCCTCAAATAAGAAAAATTGTGGAACAAACAGACATGGCCCCACCTGCTGGAAGACAAACAATGCTTTCAGTGCCACTTTTCCTAGTGAAATCCAGGTTTGTAATTTTATTTTATTAATTTGAATCATTTTAATATATAATTTTTTAATTTATATAATGTTTTTACACAGAGACTCGCATCTGATTTTCTTTCAAATTATATATTCTAACTATGGGACACGTTGGGTCAAGTACTGATTTGATTGTTCAAAGGGTGGAATTTGTTCAAGAAACTGATAAAAGAAGCCACCTTATGGACCTTCTTCATGCACAAATAGATAATGGATCTGGCAAGGTACACGTGTACACCTTTTATAATTTTTTTCATTTCAATCTTTTTAATGTAATATTTTTTTTTATTCAGCAACCTCTTACACTAGTTTTTGTCGAGACAAAAAAGGAGCCGATTCACTTATGTGGCAATTCGTTTCATGCTACTACAATTCATGGAGACATAACACAATCGGTAAAAAAAAAAATTAGAGTTAAGGGTAGGTTTAGATGTCCTTCAGGGTAATATGTTCATGTCTTATAAAATACAAATCAATTAACTCTAAGCTAATTCTTGTTATTAAAAAGGTAACGTGTCACTTTTATCCCACTTTTTACCTCACATCAACAAAAGCTTGATGACACTTGGAACTGATATTAAAAAGCTTAGTGAAGGTGCTGAGAGTCAAGGGTAGGTTCAGATGTCCCTGAGGGTAATTTCGTAATTCCTAAAACCGTTCTTATAAATTGTGTTTTATTGTTTAATACAAGGGTCATGTTCGCTATCGAGACAGCAAACTCACACGTATTTTGCAACCTGCACTTGGTGGGAATGCAAATACATCCATCATCTGTAACATTACCTTGGCACAGGTGAACCTTAAATTTATACAATAATGTTGGAAAACTAATTTTTTATAGTACAACTAAATAAAATTTCTAGTTATTTGAGCTTTTTGAATAAGATTATTAAAGGGTAAGAATAAACTCACTCTATGAGGTTCTGAAGCTTGTTAATATTCCAATTTTTTGATTGGTACTATATTTCAAAGTGAATATTTTAAGATTCAAGATATTTCAATGAAATTTATTTTCACATTAAAGCATTCCATTAGGGTTTCTAATTTTATATCTAGCATGTAAGTAGATCATAACTAGTTCTTATTGTAAGAGTGTTGTTTCATGTCAAGTTAGGTGTCACAAACATTGTTTAAAATCTGTTATCTGAAATCCTTATGTCTTCTTCTCAAATTTCTATTAAATTTGTTCAATGGCAGATTCACGCTGATGAGACTAAAAGCAGCACTGTCATTGATTCCAATGTCAAAACAGTAATGGAATCAGCCCTGTCATTCAAGTAATTAGTAGTGGGTGTTCATGCTTTGGGTGGAGTTGGAGAATGTGGATGTATTCCTGGTATGTTTCATGTAGAGATCATATTGCATATTTTGAAATTCAGTTAGCTGCAATAAAATCTATCTATCTTATTGTTGTGCAGTTTTGATGTTACCGATGTTGTTGAGCTAAGTAGTGAAGTCTCACAATCCATGTCTAGATTTTTTTTTAATTTAGCAGGTAATTATGTTTTCTTCCCTCTTCTATTTCTACCTTTTCATTTTCTCATTGCAATTAGTCTATGCTCTTATTCCTTACTGTTGTAAAACCATTATTTGGTTAAGTAGTTGGCTTTGTTATATCTTTTACTTGACACATGTAATATGCTTAATGGTAATTTAGATCCATGCCTCCAAAATGACTTCTAGTGGCAGAAGAACACTAGAAGCTGCTATTTCACTAGTGAACATACATGACAAGTGGAAGGCTAAAGTCATATATGGCGACACCGATAGGTAAAAAAAAGTTGTATTTTTTATGAATTTTTTTTGTTAATGTTGGTTTGTAATTTGATAATTGATATTTGATACATGTCTTTTTGCAACATGTTTGTACTTGTTCGAGGGTGTATTACCCATGCTTTCTACTTACTAAAAAGAGATATGTTGGTTACAGTTATAAGAAGCCTGATCAAGTCAAACCTTTCTTTGATGCTAAAGGTATTGAAACTGTTTGTAGAGATACATGTGAAGCTGTATCCAAAACCATGGAGTCTTCCTTCAAAACTATTTTGAAAATCAAGATATTAGTAAAGTGAAATCATACATGTACTAGAGAGAAAGATTGTGTAACTAAGCTTCTACGAAAAACAGAGGGTCCAAATGGATGAAAAAGAATACAACCTTGAAGTACCCACAAAAGTTTTTGAGATTTGCAAGATTATAATATAATATAAATATTATATTAATATCTTAATAGATGAATGAAAACGGAAGCCAAATATTACTAGTCTCAACCCTCTTCTTCTTCTATAATGAAATAGTTGCTTGCCTATATATATATATATATATATATATATATATATATATATATATATATATAAATCCTTTATTTTATTTGTAGATCGAGGACAGAGATATTATTTGCTTTCAGAAAGTATATGAGGCTGGACATGCTTGTTCACTACAATCAAGTACCCTTGGTTTCTATATTTTTTGACTTGTCTTTGATGATGAAATAACAACATATGATATGATTATGGTAACCACAAAATCAAAATGACTCTCTGTTTGTGACAAGTTTCTGATATTTTTATTACGAGGTGTTAGACATACCTCTCCCGGAATTGTAGTGTCTGAAAACTCTGAAAATTGCATTTTACCATGTAACCAAGGAAGAGATAGGTGTGGAGAGAAAGGCTTCAACTATTTCTTTAGTCTCTAATGTAAAATCTCTTGTGATGTGGTTGTGGTTGTGGTTGCAGCCTGTGAGAGCACTGTCAGAGATGTTCTCAATAAGATTAAGACAAAGGTATAAATATACATTCCTCTCAACTTGCATATATAGATTATCAGATTAGTGGATCAGTTGGTGACTGAAATCTGAAACTGCTTACTTGTATGTTAATGTTGTGTTTTTGTTTATAGTTGTATTGATGAAAATAAAATAAATACATTTATGTTGAAACAAGTAGGTTGAATTATCTCATCCAGATGTTGAACTGAGATTTCTTGCAGTATTTTACCACAATATTTACAAGGTATTAATATAATTAGTAATTAGAATCCTTTGTAATGCTAGGATAATATTAAGAAAAATAAGTTTAGATATGAATTTTCAACTAAATACATAAATCATAATGATATCATGATTTTGTTATAGGTAACCTATCGATTGCTTGGAGTTATACTCGGAGAAAGTACCCCACAGGAGCTTCAGGTATTGGTTAAAATATTCCCTCATTTGACCACTCACATTTGGCACAAGTATTTGCAACTAACATTCCTTGTAGGATTCTTCTACTAATTATATTAGCATATCAATTTTTTGACTTTTATTTGATCAGGACACAAGAATTATCGGAGCAGGCGTTCATTAGTCTTAAAGAATTATGAAAGGCAAGATGCAACTCTACTTAATTGGAATTTGATGGTTATCATCTTTGTGTATATCATTTTAGTTTGTATAGCATTACTTTGCAGAAGGTGTCCCTAGATACGCAATGTAGTATTAGGTTATATAGTTAGGGAAAACCTCTTAATAACAATGTACAATTAGATCCCCTTAATATTGTAACATCCCGGAATCGCAAGAGTAGAGTTGAAGGGCTAAAAGTGTAAGTTTCGGAGGGCGACTCGGCGAGTCCATGGATAGACTCGGCGAGTCAGGTCGCGACTATGGTCGCGTATCAAGTGGCCTACTCAGCGAGTCCAAAGATGGACTCGACGAGTAGGTGCTGTGTGGAGAAAACCCTAATTTTCGGGGTTGAGCCCTATATAAAGATCGTTATGCCCCTCCACAGCCTCCTCTATTCCCCCCTTGAGTCCTAGAAACCCTAATTTCGTGGAGAGCCCCATTGTTGAGCAAATTAGAGCTTGGAGAGGTGTTGGTTGAAGAAATCTTGAAGGAGAAGTGGCTTGGATCAAAGGGCTTTGCTTGGATTCGAGTTTCAATGCTGTTGAGGCATCCTTTGGAGGTAATACTTTCGTTCTTGGGCTGTGTTTTCCTAGTTTCTCATTTTGGGGTTGTGTGGGGAGCTTAGTTGTGTGGCATCTTGATGTTTGGAGGATGGATCTGAGGTTGCTACCTCAGATCTGGAGTGGAGAAGATCTTAAGAGCATTAAAGCCCCTGTTCTTGTTTTGTTAATGGAGCTATCATGTCCCAAACCTTGGTTCTAAGGTGAATAAGGCCTAGATTCACGTAAAGTTTGCCACTTTACGTGATGGATGGATTGTAGGAGGTTGGATCTATGTTTAGGATCAATTGCATGGCCTGAGATGCTTCTGTATGGATTCAGACCGGTGGTACTCGACGAGTCACATGGGTGGACTCGACGAGTTGCTTGAAGATGGCCTGGAACTCGACGAGTTGGAAGAACAACTCGGCGAGTAGGTTGAAGATAGCCTTGGACTTGGCGAGTCTGTTCTTGGACTCGGCGAGTCTTGTCGAGGAGTCCCAATATTTCTGGTTGAGTCGATGAATCGGTGAGTCAGGGGATGACTCGATGAGTTGGGTGCGAGTGGATTCAGAGTTGCTGGACTCGACGAGTCTTGGGGTGACTCGGCGAGTTGGGTCGCTGATTGAGGGAAGTTCTGAGCTTAAGGACTCGACGAGTCATTGGGTTGACTCGGCGAGTAGGGTTAGTCAGGGGTTGACTTTGACTTGTCCAAGGTTGACCAGTTGTCTTCCAAGGGTATTTATTGAGTTGTATGTTTTGATGTTCAGTGGAGGAGTTCGTGTCGGAGTTCGGAGCAGCGGGATCTTATCCTTTCAGCCGACAGTTTCGAGGTGAGTTATCCTCACTATATCAACAGGGTCTAAGGCACCAAGGCCGGCCCTTTATTGGATTGAGATTCAGATATGGTTATTATGTTATTGTTTGATGTGTCTGCATCCTGGTAGCTAGGATGGTACATGCTAGGAGACCTTATTAAGGTCAGTTTCCTGACATATAGGGTGATGCTATGCTAGTGACCGGTTAGGTCGGCAACCTGGTTAGGGTAATGATATGCTATGTGATCTGCTTGCTCGGTTTGTTGACTATGACTGTTATATGATTGTATGTTTTGTGCACATAGTTGTTTTGACTGGAGATGGGTTGAGGCGGGTCCTGCTTTGTGCTGTAGGCCAAGATACCCAGGGCGGACCGGTTATTTCGAAGGCCCAGCGAGCGGTCCGGATAGGCTGTAGGCCCCACGAGGGCGGACCAGACGTGCCGAGGCTCGGAGAGTGGACCAGGCTGACTGAAGGCCCGATGCGGGCGGACCAGTCACACTGTAGACTCAGAGAGTGGACCAGGTGGGTTGAAGGCCCGATGCGGGCGGACCAACCCCACTGTAGACTACAAGGACATGACTAGACCTGGAGGATGGATCCGATGGACTGAAGGCCCGATACGGCGGACCAGTCACACAGTAGACCCGATATGCATGGCTGTTCTATGTTCTGTTATGTTATGTATGTTTTATATGTTTTAGGCCGGAAGGCAATATGTTTTGGACCGGAAGGTCGCAGCCTGGAAGGGCGTATACGTGGTTGGTATTTTGGGGGTATCTCACTAAGCTTTCGGGCTTACAGTTGTGGTTTAATGTTTTTCAGGTTCTTCTGGAGACTGTGGCAAGGCGAAGGCGCGATCGTACCGCTCCTCATGATTTTGTAGCAATGTGATTCTGGGAATACTCTAAATGATTTGTATTGAAAACCTTTTTGTAAACAATTTAATGAAAATCGGGTTCTTTTGAAAATTTTAAATTGGTTGTATTTTTCGGATGTTACAAGTTGGTATCAGAGCCTTGGTTTGAGTGAATTGGAGGAACACTTGTGTGACTCCAATCTCAAATCGAGGAGGGTTTTCAAAAGAAAATTTAAAATGGTTTTCAAAGTAAGTAAAGGAGGACGCGGAGGTACGATCAGCCGGAGCCAGTAAGTAACCCCAAAATACCATACATGACAATTGTTTTATTGAGCTTTGATAGAAAGCATGCTAGAGTTAGGCTAGGGATCTTCAGGATTTCTTGATGAGTTGCCTGATTTATGATGCCTGCTAGCCTAGGGTTCCTTGTGAGAGATTTCTAGTGTTCCTCTAGTTGTGAGGATAGAGTGTTGTTATGTATGTCGCTAGGGTGTTGTGGAAGTACTTCATACAAATATGGGTAGGTGTGGAAGGTAGTATGGGCCCGTACTACCGAAAGCACGGACCCATACGCGTATCAGGGAAACCATGACCTCTAGGGTTGGGATGAGAGCTGGATCCCGGGATAGTGGAAAAATGTCTGAGATT